AAAAGTGGGCATGTGCCCTGATGGGGAATCGAAATGTGACCTCCTGGTTCATGGGTTGACACTCAACCACTGAGCTACACAGGGCAGGCAAAAAATCTCCAACTTAGTAAAAGTGCCTGACATAGCTTACAGAGTAATTGTTTGAGATTTAGACTAGAATAGGAAAGGTGGATTTTATGTGATTCTTTTATTGCATTTATTATGCTGTGGTCAAGTGGTTGGCATTGTGTAAATAACCCAGAAGATCTAGGCCCTGTTGCCATCTGGAGGCTCCCTCAACATAAAATAAACAGCTAAAAATTCAATAGAACAGTGCTTCTTAAAGTGTTTTACTGAACACAGATAAAGAACATAAACTGTATGTGAAAAATCATCTTAATACCTTTTATACCTGTTAATCATATTCCCCTTGTGATTAGAGCCCTATAAATGTGGATAGGGAGGTAGGCATTGAGTATCATGAGTTTTGTTTTGTTTTTCAGAGCTAAACTGGGGTTCAGCAACTATAATTACTAAAGTTTTGAAAGCTAAAAACAATAGGATTAAGATTAAATATGGAAAGTCCAGTGTACTTTCCCCTTCTCTCACATTACATAAACAGAGAAATCAAGATGTTTCATCAGCATAAGGAATCTAAAATATTATATGCACTTATTTCAAGTTTCTATTAATTAATCACCAAAGGTTGAAAATATTACTGTAAAAATACTACAGAGAAGCATATCCATAGCCTATCCTAACTAGCATATTATGCCTATAGATTCTAAGCCACATTATCTATCTATCTATCTATCTATCTATCTATCTATCTATCTATCTATCATCTATCTATCTATCCATCCACCCACCCATCCATTTATCTTGCAATATTACTCAGCCATGAAAAAGAAAGAAAATCCTGCCATTTGTGACAACATAGACAGACGCGGAGGGCATTATTCTAAGTAAAATAAGTCAGAACAGAAAGACTATATGATTTCACTTATATGTGGAAGCTAAAAAGTAATAATAATTTCACAGACACAGAGTATAGTTTGGTGGTTGCCAGAGGCAGGGAGGTGCAGGGCTTCAAGAAAAGGTGAAAGGTGGTTTAAAGGTACAAACTTCCAATTAAAAGACAAGTTCTGGGGATATAATATACAGCATGGTGACTATAGTTAACAATACTGTATTATAAATTTAAAGTTGCTAAGAGCAAATTTTAAAAATTCTCATTGTAAGAAAAAAATGTGTAACAATGTGAGGGGATGGATTTAACTAAATTTATTGATAGAGTACTATCAATTTACCCATATCTCAATATATGTTAATTGTTCATTCAGCTGCCTGCCTCCTTCATGTAACCCAGCATGGTGTCTGGCACATAGCACATTCTTTTCTAAAATTATTCTTATTTTAAGGCTTCCTCCATATAAAGATTCTAAATAAAACTCTTTGAGCAAGAGTTTTTTTAAATGAGGTATGGGAAAAAAGTAACCGTCCAGTTTAGATAACTAAATACTATAGCAAATGGCAATCTACCTAAGCAGGTACTTAAATCAGACACTCAAAGGCATTAGATTTTATCACATCTACAAACACTGTTTCTTACTAGTCATTATTTTCACTTAAAAGAATGTTTGTCAATTAGATCTATCAAACTAAGTAATTCAGTTCAATTTATTACATATTTATTAAGACAGTGGGAAAAAGATGAGAAAGAAATACAAAATAGCCAAATTGGTTTAATTGCTAATCTAAATAAATGTTCAATTTTTAAAAAAGAAAGCAAAGCAACAGCAGAAAATTAAGTTTAAATGGTTGAGGTTCTCTATTGCCAAGTCATCTATTCAAGAGTGTTTATATCAACTATAAAAGCATTTCAGAAGCTGGTCCTCATACATAGCCTACAACAGTCAATGTACTTTAAACAAATTGATAACTGTTGAAAGATACTTCAAACCATTAAATACCAAGATTCCCATTCTGAATTATCATAAGTAATCTATTAGGAAGAATCACACCTGTTATATATAGTTAGTTTAGGTTTAGGAAACATTTTGTGATATAAGAAATTAAATTGATTATTTTATCAGCAATGTTGGAATAAACATCAATAGATGATGGAAAATATTATGATAATTTTTAATGGGAAGCATAATTTTTAATATTTTGCTTCACTTGACCAAATTACTATATAGGATACGGTTTCATATACAAATATAAAATAATGAAGAAGAAAAATAGAACTCCACCTACAAGGTATGATTTAGCTACTGAAATAATCAGATTGTATACTAATTCCTGTACTGGTGACAGATTTGAACAGGAATTGAACACTAAATTCCACCTGCAGGCACATCATGTCAAGTACATATGAACAATAATAATTTCATGACAGTTGTGCCAAGGGAAATATCCGAAGATTCTTTGTACAAGTCAGAACAATAACAGATACAATTGATGTATGGATAACTAAAGAATTAATGTCAAAGACCTTATTAAATTTCATTCTGTTTCTCTAAATCTAGAAATGGGCTAGTTTTTCCAAAAGGTGCATACATAGATAATGTACTAATACATAAACAGAAACAGAAGTGGATGGGAACCATACTTTGCTATGCTCAAACATAAATCTCTTCTTTCTTTTAGATTCAAGATTATCATCTAAATTATTTTAGTTATGATAAGTTCTGCAAGCATATTGAAAATAATCACTAGTTTAATTAATTAAATGTGTCCAAAAGGCAGTTTAATTGACTGGCATGAAGAAAAATATATTATTTTATACAATACCTGTAGTGATAAAGGAAAGATCTATTTAATTAAAATTATAATTCTGTGCTACCATGATAAAACAACTTCTTTAATCAGGAACTGCAAATGACAGAGTAAAATACCACTGACAACTTTTCAGTACTGGAAATTCTAAGGAAAGTTTGGAAAAAGTTACAGGATAGGGGAAATAAGAGGGTAGAGATATTACAATTAGTCATTTTATTTAGTTCCCAAACATTTAGGAGTTTCTATGTTTCTGATCATTATTCTGTTAGGTAAGGTGCCTGGCATGTGTATACTGGGAAGGACTTAGACTGGAGGTAGGTACAAGCAAGAGTACTAACCAGAGTTCTGTTATTTATAAGTTGTATAAGTAACTTATTATCTATTAGGCCCTAGATTCCACATAAAGGATGATTTCTAGAACCTATTTAAAGATTAAGAAATTCTGAATGTTTCAAATTCAAGTCATTTTAATCTTCATATCCTGTATGTACAAAATATATAGGGATTAAAAATCAAACAAACCAAATAACTAGTTGTAGCATACAGGCAAGGCCTAGCTATACACTAAATTTGATAAGTCTAGTGAGGCCAACTTTTCACTTTTTGATATATAGAATAAGGCTCTTAAATCATCCTAATGAAGACAAAACTCACATCACAAGATAATACTTTAAATCCATATAGAACCTTTTAAAGCACTTTATAGAAATTATCCAATTAGCTTTTCTGACCACTTCTGTGAAGCGTCAGGTATTATCTGATATTTTCCAAAGGAGGCAAAAAGAAACAAAGCAACTAAAGTTATCACTCTGCCAATGACATGGCTCCCTATTCCACATCTAGTGTTTTAACTTGTGAAAAAAGGTGGTCAGCTCCGTGAGAAATTATATTAACTGAAATATCTCAGCCTTTTGAAAAGTTTGACTTCCCACAAAATGTGAGTGCAGAGACAGTCTATTGTTTTGCTCAGCATTTCACCTAATAACTTAGTTCAGTATTTTCCACACTGTAGACACTCAATGTGTATTTGTTCAATGAGTAAAGGCTATTAATGATAGCTAACAATTAATAGAGCTCATATATCAGGTGCTGTGTTAAGTACATCACATGTATTATTTCATTTACTCCTACAACAACTCAAAGAGGTAAGTAAATTATTACTTTTCATTTTAATGATGAGGAAACTAAGGTCTAGGTTAAGTAACTTGCTCAGAATTACAAAATGATAAAGCCAGTATTTTTTTTAATTTTTATTTTTAAAAAAATATATTTTATTGTTTACAGAGAGGAAGGGAGAGGGATAGAGAGCTAGAAACATTGATGAGAGAGAAACATCGATCAGCTGCCTCCTGCACAACCCCTACTGGGGATGTGCCCACAACCAAGGTACATGCCCTTGACTGGAATCGAACCTGGGACCCTTCAATCTGCAAGCCGACGCTCTATCCACTGATCCAAACCGGTCAGGGTTAAAGCCAGTATTTTTAGCAAAGGTAGCCCAATTTTAGACCTTGCTTAAAGATCATCATTGTAGAAATAGACTTGCAGTAAGAAACTATATATTCTATTCTCTCTAGAACTTAGGAGAGAAATTTCTTATTGATCTTGATATCTCTTATAATGCCTAGTATAGTACCTTAATCACACTATTTGTTATCAAATGTTTCCTGAATAAAATGTAAAATTGCATAATCAAATTAGGCCTCACTGACCTTAACTGTAAAACAGAGATAAAGGTGCCTCACTGGTTCACAAAGTTTGGTCCCTGGGTCTGGCAACTGTCAGAAATGCAAATTCTCAGGCCCCACCCAGACCTACTGCTTTAACAAGCCTTCCAGGTGAGTCTCAGGCATGCTGAAGTTTTAAAACCTCAGGTCAATGTTACTTACAAGATAATTATGAGAATTAACTGAAGTCAATAGTGTGGAATCACCCTAAAAAGTGAAAGGTATATCACCATCACCATCATCATCATCGTAAGAGTAAATTGCATTCCTTGAGTAAGCTTAGTGATTTTGCTAAATCCAGATGAAAATAAACATGAAAAATGAAATAGATCATGAAACACTTTTTAAATAAAATATTCTTTTAACGATTTTATCTGGATAATGCACAGCATTCATGGATTCAGAGAAAAAGAGGACTATGAGCCATAAAGTTGTACAAAGAAATCTGATGATCTGGTTATGTGGCAGTTCAACCCAGAGAATCTGACATGCTGTACACAGGCTTCTTACCTGACCAGTGTCCTGTGGAGATGCCATATCGGTCTGTGCAGGTCTCACTTACAGGTCTAAACACAGTTTCCCACCCACCAGTAGCATAACGCCAATTCTGAGACTCCAAGATCAGTGTTCGCTGGGTGCCATATGCAATCATGAAGCAGTAGACCACATGATGGAGTTGACAGCCGTAGCCACAGCCTTTGTTGATATTACACACTAGCTTCTTGGCTTTGCTGCAGTCCTTGGGATTCTGTCAGGGAGGAAGAGAAATAAAGGTGAAGATAAGCTGTACAGAGCAACTTCTCTTCATAGATGACAAGTACATAACTCATATAAGCCAGGACTGATCCAGTATATCTTATAAGGCAAAGAATCGAGCTTTAAAGATCAAATTTCAAAGAATTTACTGAATATTTTATGTGCACACTTAGGGAGATGGCAGTGAAAAAAAAGTTACTTGGGAAACACCACAAAACAAACATAAAATTAAGCAGTAACATTTAAAAGAATACTATTTTCACTTCTCTATCATGCAGAACATCTCTGAAGTCAAAGCTGTGTACACTGAGATATTTATTTCAGCTGCAATTCAGCATTCTGAGCTTACATTCCCTGATGAAACTGAAGTCATTTTAAAGGAAAAATTATAATATACCTACTAATTCCACCTATCTCCAGAGTTCTAGATGTCATGAACAAAATCATTATGGAAGTAAAGCCACTGAGTAAAAGGATATCTGAGTTCAACAACTATAAAATATCAGTCATGGAACTTAAAAAAACACACCAATTTTGACAGTTACTAGTAATTTTCACAATAAAATGCAGAACATGTTCTATATTAACTGTCTTGAGAATGTGGTAAGCCACTTTTTAATTAGGAGATTCATTTACCTATTTTTATATTTGCTCTGAGATGAATAGAAAGTGCATAAATCATATAAGCCAGGACTGATCCAGTATATTTTATAAAGCAAAGAATCCAGCTTTATCTGGATAATGTACACTTAATACTCTCTAACAGTAGGTAAAATGGGCTTAGCTAATTTGAGAATTTCTTTTTTCCATTCTAATATATCAATTCTGCTGTAATTCATATAAGCTGCTGCTAAACATCCCTAAGCATCTTAGTTCTTCAAATAAAAGTTTGTTTTGACAAGGACTCCTTAGCCTGAAAAGTTGTTGAAGCTGTTTTGTCTGAAAGGGAGGAGAAAGAATGGATGCGTTCAGGGACAGAATCTTCTCTTCCACAAAGCAAGAAGCAAAGGAACTACTAATTCTCAATTTATATGAGCCTTGAATAAAGCAGTCAACAAATCACAAATCTACCACTGTTTTCTAAGGATATTACCTGTTTTGTCAAGAAGAGATCCCTAGAAACAAAGGCTAGGACAGCGAGGCTGTAAAATGTTTCTGAAGGAAAAGCTGAGAAGGGAATATGCAACAGTTACTTTCAGAAGAGGTTGTTTTCCACATTCCAATGTGCCATGCAGGCTAGCCTTTTTCTATCAAAGCAGAACCTATACCAGCGATTTTTAACCTTTTTCATCTCATGGCACACATAAACTAATTCCTAAAATTCTGCAGTACACCAAAAAATATATATTTTTGGCAGATCTGAAAAAAAAGGTATAATTTTGATTCATTCATACCATCTGGCTTTTGTTGTGTTGACTGCTGTCACTTTTTAAATTTGACAATCTATGTGGTATATAAAACTGAAACTCATGGACACAAACAACAGTGTGATGGGTATCAGAGGGAAGGGGCTAGTTTTTGTCAATTACCATTGACCCTGGTTGATGTCTGACAAAAACTTGAAAGCATGTCTCATTCAGAAGCAAGAATATATAGAAGGAGTGATTTGACCTGAGGTGGTGAACACACAATACAATATACAGACAGCATATTATAGAATCATACACCTGAAACGTATATAGTTTTATTAACCAATGTCACCCCAATAAGTCAATAAAAAGGCAAAAAAAAAAGAATATACAGAAGGGCCTCAATACTAAAAGAAGTTTTAATGATGCTTTAATAGGGTAGCTATTTTTTATAAAATCTGCTTTTGTTTCTAGTGTGCCTAATGCACACTCCCTTTTATATTTCTCTACCAGTTATGCAAGAATGCAGGCATATTGTTTTGTTCTATATTCTGATTATTTTTATCTTTCCCCTCCCTCATCTTTTATAGAACTCCCTCCTTCTCTCTCTCTCTCTCTCTCTCTCTCTCTCTCTCTCTCTCACACACACACACACACACACACACACACACACACACACAATTGCTATGTGCATAGATTACAATATAGTCCTTTTAAAAGGAGGCTCACTAGGAAGTAATTCTTATTTGGGAGTAAAAGATTGGGAAAATACAGATTGAAAATGTAATCCCCCTCCTCCTTAGTCCACTGGGAGAGAATCTCACTCATTTTTCTCTTCTTCTGCCTTGAGTTTCACTCACTGACTAAGGTAAACTTTTGCTTACTTAATAAATATTTATTAAACACTTAATATATACAATATATATATATATAATCCAATAGAATAAGAAATCATATGTATCAATAACTACAATAATAGACTATTTGAATGTTCTAAGACTGTGATAAACAAGAAATTAAGGAACAGTATGGACTTCCATTGGGAAAAAATCACTTTCAGGTGGACTGAAAAGAGTTATGAATAAAACTGCATTTATGCTAAACCTTAAAATACATAATTTATTGTGTTTATAAAATGCTAAGAAAAAAGTACTATTTTCATTAGTCAATGGAAGTCCATATTGTAAAGAATAATTGTGAAGAGCGAAGTAAAACTATGAACTCTATAAATCATATTTATAATGTGGGATTTTTGTATATAGGGTCTCCTTAAAGTCAGACTCCTAAAAAGGCACATACATTCTTGCTCCTTGCAATGGTGATGACTATTAAAGTTTTAAAAATATGAGGCAAATTTGTCAAAATTACTTGGAACAACATGCTCTAGTTAAAGAACTTTGCAAGGAGAGGCTTGAGAGACAGTTTTCTCTAATTCAGGCTTTGTTATTAATTCAATTGTGTGATTTTGCTTTAATTTGTAAACTAAATATTGTGACAAAAATGACCTCCCTCCACAATCTTTGCCCCCTGCTCACCTATCCTTCCTTCGCAAAAATACTATGAAACTAATGACATACTGTATGCTCAAAGCTAATTCAAACATATTTCATTTATCCTCATAATATTAAGAAACATTATTTCACAGTGGATAAATACAATACGTTTTGTATTTAGTGCTACATGGTGGCCCAATCATGAGCCCTTATAAGCTAAGTATTACGTAACATTTTTACAGTTATAATTCTGCAACAAAAAGCTATCACCATAGTATATATCAGTGATGGCGAACCTATGACACGTGTGTCAGAGGTGACACGTGAACTCATTTTTTTGGTTGATTTTTCTTTGTTAAATGGCATTAAATATATAAAATAAATATCAAAAATATAAGTCTTTGTTTTACTATGGTTGCAAATATCAAAAAATTTCTATATGTGACACGGCACCAGAGTTAAGTTAGGGTTTTTCAAAATGCTGACATGCCGAGCTCAAAAGGTTCGCCATCACTGGTATATATGAATTAAAAAATGAGGACTTAATATAGGGTTCTTCTGTATTCAGTTTCCTTTTCTTCAGTTTTGTATATTTTTTTAAACAATCTCTGAGGCATTTCTTCTGATACTGTTAATTCCCAAGAATGACCCTATCTCAACAGAACTAAAAGCTATATTGGCTCTCATTATCCTATAGTTGTAAATCAACATTGGGAAGTACATTTAAATCAATCTGACTCTAATCAAGATGGCACATTAAGGGAAGCAGCATCTCTTAAACCTAAATGATTACTAATTCACTAACGGTACCATCATAATGCTGAAATGTTTTACTTTAAAATATTGAAAGTTACTATTGGACATAGTTCAAATTAGAAAGCCAGCTTAATTTCTACTTTGCTAAAAAAATAATAATTTTGAATTGACTAGTAAACAACAGCCATTATTATATTACTTTGGCACTGCTAGGATTTAGAGGTTTTCTACTGCCTTCACTTAGTAAATTAGTAGTAATTGTAAGTTAATGATGTAATATTATGAAATGGTACTGATTCCATGGCTTTTAAATTAAATCACAGATAAAGCTTTTGCCATGACTATTTACATTTTCTGTACACACAAATAAAAGCCTCTACAGAGGAAAATTTTCCAGCCACAATGTAATTTCCCTCATTTCTCTGCCCAGTAATTATAGACCAAAACATTGCACAAACAGGCTAAATTAACAACAACAAAAATTTAGTCAAAATAAGCTAAACATACTATTTCCAGGCATCTCTTGCAAGTAGTATATGCTTAATAAACGATTAGTTCAACTGAATTTCATGTACTTAGACAAAAACAATGCCAACTTAGCCAAGTTCAAGTATGTAATACAGTATTATTAACTAGTCACCAGGCTGTATATTAGATCTCTAGAACTTATCCCACATAACTGAACCTTGTACCCTTTGACCAACATCTCCCCATTTCCTCTACCTTCCTGCCCCTGGTAACTACTGTGCTACTCTGTTTTTATGCATTTGACTCATTTAGATTACACATGTAAGTGCGATCATGCAGTATTTGTCTTTCTGTCTTATATCACTTAGCAAATATTTTTTTCCGTGATGATTGTACCCATTTACATTCCCAGCAACAGTGCATGAGAGTTCCCTTTTCTCCACATTCTCAACAAATTTGCTATCTTTTGTCTTTCTTACAGTGGCCATTCTAACAGGTATAAGGTGATATCTCATTGTGCATCTCATGTGTTTGCATTTCATTGATGCTTAATAATCTGTTGACCACTCCTATGTCCATATTTTCATTATGTTTTTTTTTTACTATGAAGTTCCTTATATATTCTGGATGTTAACCCCTTATCAGATATATGGTTTGCAACTATTTATTTTCTCCCATTCCATAGGTTACTTTTTCATTTTGTTCATTGTTTCGTTTGCTGTGCAGAAGCTTTTCAATTTGATGTAGTCCACTTGTTGATTTTTGCTTTGGTTGCTTGTGCTTTTGGTGTTTATATATATTTCACTGCCAAACCAACATCAAGGAGCTTTACCCTATGTGTTCTTTCATCTTTTTATGGTTGAAGAACTTACACACTTAAGGATTAAAAACTGGAACTCTGGGAATCCTTCCAGCTCCTCTTTAAC